TACATGCTTCTATATATTGTCCTTACTGCAAGAGTTCTGCTGAAAGTGGATCCAGTGTATCGTTCACTGGATTCGATCATTTTGAAAAAAAAAACATACTGATTTGGACCACTCATTGTAGGAAAATAATGCTTTTTGCACCAAGTCATCGAAGCTGTACAGTAGATGCATTAAAAGTTCTAGGATGTAAATGAATGGTGATGATCGACAAATTGCACCACAAGAAAAATGTGAATTGAAATCTATTAAACAATCCCATGAACAATAAGAGTGAGAAAATTTCGGCAAGTTTCATTCAAAATGTTGCTCGTTATGGCGCTAAGGCGCATTGGGCATAAGAGCAAAGAATTCTCTATTGGCCAGTAGTTTTAAAATTATTTCTTTTTCCTATTTTGTGCCATTTATCACTTAATCTGATATGGCACAAATCGCCAGACATTTTTCCATTTTCACAGTCTTTTTAACGACCTCATAAGTGAAATGTATGTGTTTTGTTAATTACACATGCTATTTTAACACGACTTTTTGCGTTACATACAAATGACGAGTTACATCGTTATGTGTATTTGGCATGTTTTCAGGCGTTGTCGGAAAGGTACACGAAACCGTTGAATTTTTAATCTGTTGTCCCATTTGAAATGATGATGTGTATGTCATATATCAAAATAAAGGAGAGTTAAGGATTTTAATGATATACGTGAGTGGGCACTCAAATATGCCAGCATTTTATGATTAATAATGAGATGTTGTTTGCAGGATGAGGATTAGTTTAAATATTTACAGAACGCCTAATGCACGTATATTGTGACATTATGTTTTTCTGCGAACGAGCATAAAGTTGTAATTAAATTAACCGGAACAAATACCACGAAGAAAAACTTTAGGTTATCTTTTACAAATAAAATAAACACCTAATATACAAGGCAATTATAAAACCAATATGGTCCTACGGTCTACAACTATGGAGTCGGGCTAATACAACAAACATAGCAATTCTACAGAAGTTCCAGAACAAAATTTTATAATACATCAAGACCTTAGAATTCTGACCGTGGAAGAAGAAATTAACCATATCTGCTCTAGGTGCTAATATCTGATGTTTATCTCAAAGTTTTTAAATATTTGTTTATCCGTACATATTTTGAATATTTGAAATACGGAAATATAAAGAATATATTTCCTATTTTTGCTCGGAATATTAATTTACCTTGCGGAGAGATGAAAATATTAGAAATTCTGCAATTTTTTTTTGGGATGTTCAATTTCAGCTTTGATGTTTAGTTGAATCCTATATAGAGAACTTATTAGTTAAATTGAAATAACGGGATTGGTATTAATTTACAATTGACATTCAGACTAGTATGCTTTCACATAAGTTTTGGCTCGTCAAAAGATTTGGCCGAGCCGGGCACGACCTGCCACCGCCGTTCATTTGTCTGCATGAACGTCAATCAAAAACATCGTATGACATCAAGATGTTCGCATTATTTTTAGACTTCGATATCGACTGTCATTGAATAAGAGGAAAGTTTATGTACAGTTCAAATGATAGATGGAGAGCCAATATAAATAGTTGCTTTATTTCAATTATTTTGTAATTACCTTTAAACTTTATCGAAACTAATTTAAATTTATTATGAAACTATGTGGGCAGACTTTCACAAACTCTCGGATTGGATTTTACCGTAATTAAATACCATTTGTAACTAGTTGATTGTAAATTTTTGATTAGATTTGATCGCATTTATTTCTAGATTTTTATATTGTTTGTTATTGACTAGCTAAAGTTTTCTGTATAATTAAAATTAAAATAAATCTATTTCTATAAATTATAAATAAAGAAATTTATATTAGATTTGAAGAGTAGTATTTCAAAGATCTAACTACTATTAAAATCATATCGAGACTTCATTAGTTATAAAATATGAGCTGATCAGTTTATTGGAGCTCAACAAACACAATTAAAAATATATAGAAAATATAGAAGGTTGAAATCGCGTATATTGGTATGATGGTGCATTACCTTCCATTAGTAGTTTTGTTATAAATCAGAAAGCTTTTGGTAAGAACGCTACATAACTTTCTGATAAAACCCCTAATTTCCCGTCAATCCGATTTGGTAAACTTTGCGTTTCATTAATAAATCCCTATACTTTCTTGTCTGAAATATATAGTTGCTTTCTCAAATATTTATCAAGATTTCTATCAAACCACATAATCGTTTATATCTAATTCCTACGTACCATGGTACGAAATCAGAGTTTTGATAAAATCAATTTTGTAGCTATTTACCATAAATCGAAGACAACTGTGTTGTCTTGTATTCATAAATCGAAATGACTGCTTTATTTTCAGATAAATTTATAGTGAAGCTATATTTGAGAAGTGGATTTACATTTCTAAATAGAACGAATGTGAACGGTAGATTGCACATATAAAACTAATGCGATCGCCTTTCCTAAACGTGTTTTCCATTCAGGAAGGGTAAAAATTGGCAAGATTAATCGATTAGACTGGTCGAGTATGTGATAAAACCAGGATATGCTATTAAAATTGTACTATCACGAGAGTTTCGCATTTATTATTTAATCAGTTTAATTAAACACTTATCGACCTATGTGCGCTCGATTTCTACTCTGCCTTTTTACCAGACACTAATTTTGGACTGACAATAAAAAAAATTTAATCCTTCAGTCTTATCAAAGAAAGATTTTACTTTTTAATTGTTATAGAAATTACGACGTATAGTCGAGATATGTAACTTTGAAATCACAATCTCATAAAAAAAATCTTCAGTTCAATTCAAGCATAACGCCATGTATAAAAAGAAGGCCTGTTGTTATACGTTTCTCGTCAGGTTATTATTAAAAAGTTGTCTTTGATTAATTGTGAATAATTCAATGTAAATATAAATGTCCTTTAATTCGTTATTATACTTTTTTTAAACTTCGTCATCATGATATCTGCTTAAATCCATTAGGAAAAGATATTGATAAAATGAATTTTATTTCTGAAAAATGTTTTCACTAAAAATGTCCATATATGGAAGTATATGGTCATACCTTATTATATTCATCATTATTTAGCCATCGTTGCATATTGCATATTTACATTACATTAGAGACATTCCTAAGTTTATATGTAATTCGTTCATTTTGACGTCAAATTGGCTGCAACATGAATTTTATACGATTTATTTAACACCATTGCGTGCGTCATCTTAGTAAAATTTATCCAATGAATTTAGATTCTATTAGTGATTTTTGTAGAAATTTTAGAGTGTTTATTTATTTTGATTGAATCATTTACTAATGAAATATTTCAAGCTCTCATCTATAAGTGTGATTCTCAGAAAAGCAAATATAGGAAGTAAATTGTTTTCGTAAATTCGCACAGAAACGGTAGAGCTACTAATTTATTTCTATAAGCACTTCTGCTCATTTTTATATTAACACGATTTTTAGGAATTTAAATTGGGTAGTGAAAACCATTTGATGACAATTTGAACTTTATATAATTATTAGGTATTCATCAAATATTTGTTATTATATATAGTAGTATAATATATACTAACATAAGCAAATTCAGATCACACAGAATGACCACAAGGGTTTGAATTAATATTTGGCAATGCCTTTGGTTTCATGGATTACGCTCGTTGTGTGTGGTATTGATCAAAGTCCCATATCCACATTCAATTACACCAAATAGCTGAGACAGACTGTTCTCGCCAATTTCCTACATTTGGGTCAACATCGTAAGCATTTACTAAATTGGCTCTTTTGTGGTAATAGCATGAGATATAAAATTGTCATAATGCATTCATTTGTTTATTCGTATTCACACATCGTAAATTTGTACACATCACATTACTATAACCTTATTGATATGAGGAAACAACCTCTTGTTATGCATAATTTCCCCGATGCAGCTTCGACTTAAATATATAAGATGCACAGGTCCCATCTATGCCTATGCACTATGGACCGAATCTTTACGAGCATCCCCGAAGACAGACAGACCGAGGTTTCCTTATCGCAAAAACAGATCTTTAGTTCTCTCTTACACTGCAGATTTCAAGAAGCGAACAACAAACATACAAAAATCATTTAATCATTCTTTCTAAATCAAACCAGTGTTTCATATAATTTCTTCTGTATTACAAATTAAGTTCTTTATTTCTTATTCACGCTTATGGCACAACAAATCTGGTGGCAGTAACGGTGAGATATAACCTAAAACTAATTAATAAAAAGGCCAGTGAAAAGAAAAATCAGAAGAACAGATAAATTTGGAAGAACTACTTCGTGAGCAGAAATCCATTATTTCAAGATTGGCATTGTCGATGGTGATGGCTGCCATATTGTCTTCTTGTTAGCAGATACTAGAAAGCACGGAACGAAGCCAAGCGCTATACCTACAGGACGACGGCCATTTTGGTTTGAAAGAATTTATAGAGTCGATTGATTCATGGTTTTTGTTTTTTTTTACCAAATTCTAGACATCATATTTTTTTTCGCTTCTTGATAATATTCATTTACAAATTTTTAGAAATTTTTAGAAAATTTTACATATATTTTAGAATTTTTTTTTGTGTCACGTGTTTTTTTTCTTTTCTTGTAAAAGCATAAGGTTTTTAATTTTTTCAATTCAAACTTTTAGATTTTCAAACTTTTAGATTTCCAACTTTTAGATTTCCAACTTTTAGACTAACTTTTAGATTTTAGATTTTTAGAACTTTGAGAATTGAATATTATAATTGAGAATTATAAACCTTATGATTAAAAGATTAATTATTGTCTAATTTATAGAATTTTTATCAATTTTTTTTTTTATTATTATATATGTATTTTATTCATTCTTCAAACTTCATTTTTACCAAATTTAGTATATACGAGTATATTCATATCAATGTTATATAGAATTTAACTTTAATATCAAGTTCTAATTTTTATCTACATATTTTTACCATTTTACTAATCTTATTGTTCAAAATATAGTGTTGATGTCGAGAGAACGCGAAATTGCTGACCTTCTACTTCCAGAGCAGAGAATACTTTGTCAGCAGAATCCAATTTTGAGAGTCGAGTAACATTTAGTTTGGGTGAGAGTAACTTTGTTTTTTTTATTGCATAGTCATTACATCTAGATCTATTTTAATTCCCAAATCCTCCTTATTTCCTTTAATTCTCATATTAAAATAAAACCAAATTGCTAACATGGCCCCAGTTTTATCTTTCGAAAAGGCCATGGATATGGTACCTAGATTTGATGGCTGTGACCATACTAAATTAAGCGAATTTTTATACACATGTTCATATATTTTTGATAATATTGATCCCAGTGATCATTTACCCCTATTAAATTTTATTTTACATGTAAAGTTAGGTGGTCGTGCAATGGAGGCTACACAATACAAAACTTTAACAAAATTTTCAGATTTGAAATCATGTTTAGAAAAAATTTATTTTAATGTCAGATCAGTAGCTTCGTTACAAATTGAATTTAGTCAATGCAGGCAGGGCTTTAAAGAAAATGTTACAGATTATGCTTTTCGTTTTAGAAATATTTTAAGAGAATTAACAGATGCAACAATTAGAGAAAATAACAACCCTGCTACTGATGCTTTTTGTTCACAAATTTTAAATAAACAAGCTTATCATGTTTTTAAAGAGGGTTTACACCCTGAACTTAAGACTATTGTTAAATGTAAGTCCACTGATCTAGATTCAGCTATATCGATAGCAACGGAAGAAGAAGTTTCCTTAAATTCATCCTTAGTTTCAAATAGATATAATTTTCCAAGAACTCATTTCAACTCAAATCCCAACTTTAATTCTAATTCTAATTTTTATTCACATCCTAATTTTGATCCAAATTCCAATTTTAATTCTGATTCAAATTTTTATCCAAATTCTAAATTTAAACCAAATCCAAATTTTAGTACCAAAATTGATTTTAATCCTAATTCTAATTACAATCCTGATTCTTATTTTAATTCTAGTTATAATTACAATCCTAATCCTAGTTTCCATTCTGATATTAAACCCGAAGTACTTAAATGTAATTATTGCAAGCTTTCGGGTCATATAATTAAAGATTGTAGGAAAAGAATTTTCAATGAGCAACAACGCTCTAAAGTTAATTTTATTGAAAAGATAGATAAGCCGAACACCAGCAAGGAAGAGATTTGCAAAGCAGGTGAACTAAGAACAGTTCAACTTTCTTGTATTTCAAATAAAAATGATTTAGTTTATGCTAATTTAAATTTCCTAGATACCGAGAAGGACCAGGTTAACATGTTAGTTGACACTGGTGCCGAAATTAGTATCATTAAAATTTCCAAGTTAAAAGATAGCATAGACATTAAAACTAGTATAGAAAATAAATTTAGCATCACTGGTGTGTCGGGTAAGGCTGTAGATAGTTTAGGAAAAGCAAATTTAAGAATTTTATTAGGTGATAAGATAGTTCGACACGATTTTAGTATAGTTAGAGATGACCTCTCTATTAATAGTGATGGCATTTTAGGTTTAGATTTTTTAAAAACATTTAATGGTAAAATCAATTTTCCAGAGTCTAAGTTAATTTTTGATACTGTATATTTTAAATTAAACTTCAATTCAGAAACAAAATTAAATTCAAATTCTAAATTCATAGCTAGGATAGTAAGTAATATTAATTCTTTAGAAACATTAGAAAAGTCGAATATTAGTAAAGATGTATATATTCCAAATTTTCAAATTTCCAGAAACTCTGAATCTTCTAATTTTGTTCCAAATTCTTACAAAAATATAATTTTAGGTAATTTTAATTTAGATAGCATAGGCAAAATTTTAGATAGTGTAAGAAAAAATAAGATATTTTTAAAACAAAATTTTAAATTTAAAGACAAGTTTAAGTCAATAAACTTTGACACGCTTAGTGGTATTTTAACAAATATTTGTCCACGTTCCTTTCATACTTTCAAACAAATTTTAGAACCTAATTTTATTCCTTCGAAACTTAATCCTCAGTTGTTTTGTTCACTTCCAACCAAATTTAATAAATTTCATGCTAATCAAAATGTATATTCAGTTAATCACAATTTTATATTTTACAATTTCAATTTGAAAACCTTCATTTTAGAAGATAATTTTAATAAATTCCTATCACCAATTTTAATGAATGAACTCCATAATAAACCTCCTGCAAACCTTTATTTCCACTATGGCTATGCAAAGGATTTTAGATTTTGTTTTCAACCCTATAGTCTAGCAGCTAGTCCAATTTTATTTCAAAAGAGTATTTTGTTAAAATGTCAGAAAATTATAGATATCAAACTCTCAAAGGATTCAGCTGTCAACTACACTTTGCTCTGTGGGAAGAGGTCAGTAAAAGTTTATGTCAACAGATTAAAATCTTTTCGTTTAATAATTTTATTTCTTTTATTATACTCCAGTTTTTTGAAAATTGTTCATAATTTTAATTTTAATGTTGCTAATTTCCATTCCGTTTCAGTAAAGAATTCAGATAACAAAGTTAATTTCTATAAATTTATTCAAAAATTTAAGATAAAATATTTAATTAAGTCACAGTATCGTTATTTTTATTATATCAAAATTACTAGATTTAAGTTTTACATGTTCTAGACTTGACATTGTTTTTAGTTTCATCCATTTATATTTTATTTTACTAAATTGTTAAAATTGTGTTATATTATATTGTCACGAAACTGTCTTTTTCTCATTGTTATATTTACTATATTTAAGAATAATTGTTATTGTTTTAGATACTTGTTCCATTTATATTCTTAGTTTTTCTTTTTGCTGAAATTATGTAATTTTTTATTAGATTATAGTTTTAATTAATGATGTCTAGATGAGGTAAAATAAAACTATAATCTCATTAAGGGGGAAGGTGTTATGCATAATTTCCCCGATGCAGCTTCGACTTAAATATATAATATTAAACGACTTAAATATATGCACTATGGACCGAATCTTTACGAGCATCCCCGAAGACAGACAGACCGAGGTTTCCTTATCGCAAAAACAGATCTTTAGTTCTCTCTTACACTGCAGATTTCAAGAAGCGAACAACAAACATACAAAAATCATTTAATCATTCTTTCTAAATAAACTTTCTAAATCAAACCAGTGTTTCATATAATTTCTTCTGTATTACAAATTAAGTTCTTTATTTCTTATTCACGCTTATGGCACAACACTCTTTATAAAATATTATACAGTTTTAAATTTTTATTACGAGCACTATCAATTCCCACAAACTATTTCTTGCTATTAAATTAATGGTAAGGATTCTAATTTTAACTTGCGAGCATAATTAACTATTTTTTGTGAGATCTTCGCAGAAAGTGAAAACAATTTTGTTTAACGCCCAAAACTTTCAGTAATTATGCCTGCAGTGTTAATTAATAACGGAACGAGAGCTGATGATAAAATTACAAATGGCAATTGTTATATAATCTGCAATTATTTCTCAAAACAATTAGAATTCTTTATGAAAAATTAAACAGTAAACTATCTAATTATGTGTATACAATTTCAATAGTTTAATAAAACGTGTCAAATATTACAATTTACTTGTAACTGATTATTTTATTCATTAATATAATCGCATTGTTTTTGCAACAGCAATTTTGCTCTGATTTCCTATTGTTTGCCCATGATGCAAAATACAATATTAAAATACAAAAAATAAACTTGATAGACCACAATATTAAACTATCAGATATTCATATTTTCTAATATTCAATACGGATGCTTTTTCAAATGAAACTTTTTCGTTCTCATTTCATTTATATTTTACTTATATATTTCCTGGTACTAGAACTTTTAATGAACAGCTCTCAAAAAATATAATTAAAAAAGATTATTTCTTTAAGTTTAAACGCATAATGTATCTATCTCTAATTTAATATTTTTGTTGTCATTAAGACTATGATTGCTAATTACGCAAACGAGTCTGCATAGTTCAGACAGCTTTTAGAATTTTACTATTTTAGTTCAGCGATAAAATATATAATTATACATCGTTATAAATTTAATGTCTTACTTTATGATTTTCATAAAGTAAATAAAGTGAATTTTATTTTCATTTTCAAACCATTTTTCCATGACGGTTTAAATATTAATAATACCATTATTCATTTCTATTCCTTCTCTATATTTAACTGAACTAAACTATTTAAAAGCTTTTAAAGATTAAATTTATTTATTTTTTATTTATTTATTAAATAGGTATTTTTTGCGCACAATGAACCAATTTAATTGTTAGAATATGAATATGATCAATTTCAAGTTCAATCGCTTAATGTTATATGCTTATATATGAAGTGTTAAAATATTGACTGATTTTTTATCAGATATATTATTAATAATTTATAATAAATTTTGTGATAGCCATGACATCCTGTTTTTGTTTTATAGAATTAAATCACATTCATATTGTGGTTTCTTCTTATCTTGTTCAGACAGATAGATACTATTGACAGACAACTGTAAGTCAAGGGCCTTCTGTCATCATTGGCTACTAGGAAGGCTTTCAACATTTACAGAGAAACCGTAGTGTAAAAGTGTTGATTTTAAAGAAACTACTAATTAATAAACATAAATTAAAATGCAACATGTTTGATTGTATACATTAGGAGTATGAAGTATCAGAAAGCCATTTATAGCTACGATGCCTCATATAGGAAATGTGAGCATTATTATTCTTATCAGTTCTACCCAAAGATGCAAATATTTTTATCTAGAGCATTAGTTTTCCTGTACATATTTTTAACCAGTGGTCTTATCCCTGCTGCTAAGACACCAACTATCTTACCAAACCAGGGCCACTATAGGAGCCACCCTTCATGACGGGTCATTTTGGGGGTAGAATTTTATTACATTCATTATTTATTTTAAAAACGGTTTTTTTAGAGCTATGTGATATTAGTATTATCTTCAGCTCTCTAACTATAACGTTTGCTATTTTAATTTTCGCTTAGATGTGTCTAAGCCGTTGCAATTTCTCAGCACGAGTTGTGCTTCTAGCACGTAACGTATTCTAGGTTCTCACGTCCTGTATCAATTAATTTCCTCAGAAGGGATTTGAAATAATTCTTGCGGAAGAGAGCCTTGATTAATTACAAAGACACGTAGGATTCGAGTCCATCTTGATTGAAGAAGGGTTGATTCGATTCGAAAGTTTTCAAAGACTATAATAAATAGAGGCAGACGAAGGGATTGTGCGAAATTTGCCGATATAAATGAAATCTTATTCGGAGATTTATATTTACAAATTTTGAGAGGGTGATCAGAGGTGTAGTTTTAACTAAATTAACTATAAATAATAATAAATTTCATTGTGCTCCTTGCTGCTTTGATGCAAAGCAATTTAAATTTAGCATTGAAGGTATCTACTATATGTATCACTAATTAATTTGATAGAACTCTGTAAATTTCGGCGATATAGGCGCAAGATTAAAACAGAAATGATACAACATGATTCAATTCATGATAATTATTATCATGATCAATTGATCCATCTTAATCCCATTAATATCTATATCAAATAATACAATCAAATTCAAATATGTTGCTATTTCCTATTTTAATTAATACTTTTTATATTAATATAATTTTTAAATTTATTTTGCTTATTTTATTAAGAGATCCTGCTTCTTTCAAAAGTTTTCAGCTTTTCTCTGAATATTAGGAAAACATCGACTTTTTTATTCTAAATCCTTTATCATTTATTCTAAATTGTTATTGGTCAATTTTCAAATGCAATTACATAAAATAATTTCACAATTCGTTTTGCTGCACATAAGATGTGCAGTCATAACTCGATGCTTTTTATATTGCTATCTAAATAACAGCTGTCGGCACATAGTTTAATCGATATTTTGATTAAAACTCCAACTAGGTTATTCAATCATCGCGAAGTATTAAAAATAATTGAATTTTGATCAGTTTTATAACATTTGGCTTGAGATTGAAGAAGCAATGACAACACTGTGATATTTTATGTGTGTGCGATTACTATTTGCAATGATGGATTTGTAGGTATTCAATGAATAACGAAATTAATCATTTCAGATTCACAATAGTAATTGTAAAGTTGAAAAAGGACAATAAACTTGAGTTGTATACTGAAAGAATACCTTGAATAAACTGAAGGAGGATATAACCTATTGGCGTCTTTACTACGTAATAATTAGAATTAGCCCAGATTGTGTAATTTCCGATAGCTTTAGTTTCGTCCACATATGTGTTACTGATATGAATTAGACTTCATATTCCATTTTTTATATTTTTATATGATAATTCACCTGTACTACCACCTCGTCCTTTATATTTTTATCGATCAGCATTAACATCAAACGCATCTATGACCTATTTATTCTACTCGAATGAAACATCGTAAATTTCCTGAGTACAAATATTGTGTTCCCTAAAAAAACATGCCGATGTAGAGCGCAATTAGGCCTAACCACGTGCGATCTATAATTCCATGTGTCAAGGTTTGTTTTTTCGTTTTATTTCAACCACATACACAGATTAATTATATGAATGACGCCTACGACTTTGGCAAATTGCGAATAAAAGTCGTTTATGTACAGATGCAGTGCATTTTATTTTTAGAAACGAAAATCATATAATGCATTTGTTCAAGATTACATCATTTAAAATCACTTACATCATCTGAACTCTAAGCAAATAGAGGGATTTTGATAATTTATAAACTTGAAACATGCAGTTTTATCCAGGAGGGAAGTAAGACTCAATATAGCCTAACATAGTTGAAATAGAACAACTAATATTCTCTTCAGTTTTTTGTGAGAACAACATTTTAAAATATGTTGATGTGTTGTTAAATTGGAATGCTATATTCTCATAATGGAATTTCTTTTAATAATAATGAGATTGTTATTTAAAACTTTTCTATTCCAATTTATGACCAGAAGTTCTAAACGAAATTCTAATAGTTACGTGTGATTTCTTTACCTATGGAGTCATTCAAGTAATGGAGACATGGTATACCATCTTGATTTAGCTTAGGGGAAAAAATATTGCGTTCAACATTTAGACATAGATGCAAAATACATAATAAAGGGAACAATTACATCCGAATTATCCCAATATTATAAAATAATGAACCCTAAAACAATATACATCTTTGGAATGTATCGAATCAATTTAATGAGAATTGCTTTATATCTTAATTTTGAAATTGGCTTTTATGTGACAAAGTTCATAAAAAAATGTTGCTCATCATTAACAATATGAGAAATGTGAAATTCTTAGATCAAATAGAAATAAATAACATATTATTGTTATTGGTATTTGTTCTAAAAAAACATAAATTGGTACTACCTTGTGATTAAAATCAAATTACATTTTTATTTATTAATCATCTAAACGTATTTTTCATCATTGAATTTATGATCATTCTAATATTATAGTAGTGATACTTTATATATTCGGGCTATACTGATGATACTTTATATAAATAAACTGTTAATGTTATGGTAAAACTATATTACAGGGAGTATAATCAAATGAGTTGGTAGCCAGGAATTACAAAAAAGCTCTGAAATTTGCTGTGCGATCAATGTATCACACATAAATCTTCATGTATGCGTTATCAAAGATAAATTAGAAGTTGCATTTATGAAAAAAATGTTATTTGTGCGTTTTGGAGGTTAGGTTTTATGTGTAAAACTGTTGATCGCACAACAAATACGTAGCTTTTTGACAATTTGTAAGTACCATCTCATACGAATATAAACTTGTAACATAGCTTAACTATAACATTTAAATTTTATTTGAG